ATACTCTCAGAACCTGTACCAGAACGCTGCCAATGCCGCCGCCCATAACAACGACAAATATGCGGCCAACCACGCCAACAAAGCCTCCAACTACTACGATGCTGCTGATGCTGCCAACGGCAACGCCGCAAAGAAATCCAACTACTACAACAAAAACGCCGCTGCCTCTGCTGGTGCTGCCAACGCTGCTGGCAAATCCTATTATGGCAACCACAACAAAGCCGCTGCTACGTATGCCAAGGGTCTCAACGACTACGCCCACAACCAGTACGGCAACAACGGTCACGCCTACAACGCCAAACATGCTGCTGCCAACCACGCCGGTGCCGCCCACAACACCCCAAGCTACGGTTACGGTGTGGGACACGGACTTGGAGGAGCTGGACGTGGAGTTGTCGGCCTTGGTCACGGCGTCAGTGGATACGGTAATGGTTTCGGCAGAGGAGTTGTCGGCCTTGGAAATGGCGTTGGTGGATTCCGTAACGGAGTTGCCGGCCTTGGTAGAGGCTTTGGCTCTGGTCAAAGTTATGGAGGTTACAACCAGTACCCTTACTACGGGTAAACGGTCATACTCGGATTTCAGTGTGAAAGAGACTTCGCTATTGAAAGCGTAAATGATCAGCGTTGTGTGTTCAAGATATGCCATCTGTATCAGATCCCGAGGTTGTCATGAAGTACTTCTTTAATATGTGTTTTGAAGCAATTGTTGAAACGGGCTTTTATAATTTTATCGTCTTATGAGCAAAATTTCATTAAATCAAGTTTAGATGTAGCGATTGTATGTTAATTATACACAATGAATTGTAGACTTTTTAAATGTTGATAAATATGTTTAGGGCAAGATACGTTACATTGATGTTGACCTAGCTGGCATTCGACAGTACTTAAGGGACATATGGGAAGAGTCTTTGCTCGGTGGTTTCTGTGTGTGAAACAGTTTTCTTTTCTTTTTTCAGTGTTGTTGATGATAATTCATATTGTCAACATAATGCATGATCTTAGCTTAGGTAAATAACAGTACTTTCATGACAACTTCAGATTCTTGTACATGTCTTTGTGTAAGGTGCCCTTTTTTTACCTATCTCCAATAAATATTTTCTTACCAGAAAAATGAATGCTTTGTTATTTTTACTGGGGAAAAGCTTGCTACTTAACATATTGTTTGTATTAGTTTCAACAGAATAATTAAAAGTACTCTCGTGTCACAGGATTATGTTGACTGATTTCTAGAAGTCCATTTATTTAGTTGTTGGAGATACTTGGTATTCTGTTGTAATACTAATTCTTTGTTATCATCGCGATTCCACTTGCCCTAAATACACCCTAGAGCAGACAACATTAATAAGAAAAACAATAATGTTTAAAGGTTTTGAAATATAAAGACGACATGAACGGTTCTAAGCTTAGTTTGACCACTATCTGAAACATGGTGGTGGGGTGGTTAAACCGTCGAGTCCGCTCGTCACGCTGATAGCCTTGGTCGATTGACCACAATGGGTACAATATGTGGTGTTCACGATACGTTTCCCTGGTCTAGTGGATGGGGCGTTTACCCGGAGAACTTAAGGTACTTGGTTCGATCCTAGGTTTCATGCCAAAAGAAGGACGTTCTTGCTGTTACCCTTTCGAAAGGCTGAGTCAGCATAATGTGTTTGAGTGGTGGTGTTCATGATAAACTGAGATATGACCACGGTATCTCCGTGGCTGCACTAAAACAAAACTGCATAACTCTGGATTAGCACACACAGCCACCCACACATGTGCAGATACGTCGATAAATGGAATAGACTTGAATGCAACGTTTAACCCCATTTCATCTTAATCACCCCCAGTCCCCTCAGCCATAGCGCTGGAATGTTTCTACAAGCGGCACAAAACTATACTCATTTACTTTAACTTGGTTTCTGCTTTATCATTATTTTGAGGCGGTTTTGCGTTGAAGGTTCACAATCTGGGGATGGTTTGGCCTCCTGAAGAGTGCAATTATGCTTAATGTTTAAAACATGTAAGTGTTCCATTATTTCGTTGATTTCCCATTTACTCTAGTGTGGATTATGATAAACGTCTTAATGTTTGTCCTGACGCTAAAAACTGCCGGATGTATGCACTAGAAAGACTTTGACCAAAGACTTATAACAAACGTTATCCAAAGTTTACTATGCTCATTACAGTCGCTGAAACACTGCAAATCTATTTCCCGAAACAGAACTATGATACCCGTATAACAAACGTCATCATCGAAAAAACATTATTGTTTGTGTTATTTTTAGCCCCATCTTGTACTTTCATTCGCCCAGCAGCTGATTTTTCAATGATTAATTTCAAGGTTAATTTTCCTCTCCTTTATACGACTGATCATGTGGATCATTTCTGACCAATCATCACAAATGGGCTCTTTAAATCGTGGACAACGGTTCTTTCTTAGAAGAAGCTACTTTCACTTTCACAGTTGCCTTTATAACAATTAGAAGTTATACTATTCAGTACGGCTGCACTAAACAAATCATTACATTCTCGTTCCTTTTGATACAAAATGCAAAACACGAATATTTTTTAAATGAAAGGAATCTAAGTACATTTGTTTCATGAGTGAGTTGGGTTTATTGCCGCTTGAACTATATTCAAAGCGACATCAGGGCATATCAGTTCATCGTGGAAGGAAGGGGCGGTTGGGTAGCCTAGTGGTTAAAGCGTTGGCTCGTCACGCCGAAGACCCGGGTTCGAATCCCCACATGGGCACATTGTGTGAAGCCCATTTCTGGTGTCCCCGCCGTGATATTGCTGGAATATTGGCATATCATTCAATGAGGAATCTTTACAACTCAATATATCTCACCACGGGTATGGTTATGGGGAACATAAAACATAGCCGGGGCGAACCGGGCGAACACCCTAAATTTGTGTACATGTAGTGAGTGAGTTGGGTCGAGAACAGGGTAGGGATGCTGATCTCATGATATCCCCTTGGTACCCAGATCCAAGTTCCCTGTTTGTTGCAATATACGACAATACCGTTATTACTATAGCCTGGCTGCTTTTGTGTTGACTAGCATATGGTAATGGAATCTTTACAACTCAATATATCTCTCCTTTTTAAATAAACAAAATAACCGTGATGTTTATATATGTATCATCTACCTAGATATCTTTGCCCGTTTTTATCATCTAGACTTGAAACCAAACGTTGATGTTTCGGTGATCCCGAAGCATACAACGTCATGGAAACAAGTTCCTGTGTATTCAAATGAGTGACGTTTCAATATGGATTCTTGCATCATTACTTTATTTTGATAACGGTGAAAGAATCTGTATCGAAACGTCGCTATAGATGAAAAACAAGAAGTTGTTATCTATAAAGTTCGTTTTTTTGTCATCAGCTTCTGGAATGAAGTTCGTGAAAGTTATAAGTTGGACGAACATGAATACAGGTCACCTGATGAAGGAGTGAGTGAGTGAGTTTTACGCCGCTTTTAGCAATATTCCAGCAATATCACGACGGGGGACACCAGAAATGGGCTTCACACATTGTACCCATGCGGGGACTCGAACCCGGGTCTTCGGCGTGACGAGCGAACGCCTTAAACACTATAGGCCTGATGAAGGAGCAATGGGTAGCTTTGAAACGTCGTGAAAAAGAATTAAAAGGTTGTTATCCATAAAAATACGCGTCATGGATTCATCTTTTAGAATGTTCATCGAACAGTAGGAATACATGATAACAGTCGAGAAACTGTTAACAATTCCTATCGATGACAGGGGTGAAAATAACCCATTGCCCGACGTCCGAGTCCAGTGTTTTTTTCTGTCGGGCAAGCAAATTTGTATATCACACTGTACCGGTGTCTAGTTGACTTTCCAATGTTAATTATGTTGTTTATCTAAAAAATCAACAAGAAAACGGACGGTATAGTGGAAAAATTATCAGGGCAAGTGATTTTACATGTGCCACTGTACCGGAGTACACTAGCAATATTAAAGTTATTTCCACCTCTGCGATGATATACCAACATATCAGGGTAAGTCTGACTGGCTTGAAATAGGTAGCACCGGGTCCGTTCTAAAAAGCGCTAAGTTGATCTTCCGTTCCTTAACCTACTTATGTTGACTATTGTAGCACCGTGACCGTTGTGTGGACCGAGGCACGGGGGTATATTTGACTGCACACATTTGACCTTGGATAAGGACAAACTTTATGGATGAACAACTTCTTTATTCAGGTGATTGCGACGTTTCGATACAGATTCTTCTATCGTTGTCAAGCAGGTCCTCCTTTCACAAAGCACTAAGGTGATCGTAAGTCACTAAGGTAACCTTAGTGCAATGTTAAAGAATGGGAGTTAAGGTTAACCTTAGTAAAGGTTGCTTCGTGAAAAGAGTCCCTGGACGATACAAGAATCTTTATCGAAACGTCGCATAACTTGAATAAAGAAATTGTTCATCCATAAAGTTTGTCCTTATCTGACTATCCAACTTCTAGAGATGCCACTCAAAGACGTTAATGGCCTAATTTGCGTATTGTTCTGTTATATTGTGTTAATGTAAATCCGTTAGATTCCTTAGATAAAACACAAGGGAACATTTTCCAGACAATATTTATTCTTTGTTTAGGAAAAATGCATGAATCACAATGCAAAAGCAAACAAGACAACAATGTAATCTTTACAACGACAACGAATATACTGGAATATCTACAAAACAATTTCTTGAATTTAAATTTTTAAAAACAGGTTGATGAGTCTTATCAATATCTTCTTTTTTCATTATGAATATAAAATCAGTTGCGTAATATGCTGTTCTTAGCTTAAGGCTTTTACTGCATGTGTTTTATAGAGGGCAAGTAACAGTACTTGCAAATTACAAATCTCCGCTTCACCAGCGGATTTAGTTGCACTCGTCATAACACATAATACGGATAAGACATACGAACACGCACACACATAAATCAGGTAAAAATCATTCAAACGTTAAGCCCTTGCACACTGCACACTTTTCCCATGTTCCTAGTAGTAGGGATAGTGTCCCACCCCTGTGTTCACTCCGAACCCTCCCACAGCACCAAATCCCTTCCCAAGGCTAGAAACTCCCTTTATAACGCCTGCAGCGTTGTTGAAGCTACCGACGTGGTTTCCAAGACCGACAACTCCTTTACCCACACCGACCCCGTTACCGAAGCCGCGAAAGCCGTGACCAAGGCCGACAACTCCATGTGCAGATCCTCCGTGTCCGACACCGTAACCGTAGCTTAGGGTGTCGTGGGTGGCATCGGCATGGTGGGCAGCAGCACCGTGAGCGGCGTTGTAGGCGTGGCCGTTGTTACCGTACTGGTTATGGGCGTAGTCGTTGAGACCCTTGGCATACGTAGCAGCGGCGTTGTTGTGGTTGTCATAATAGGATTTGCCAGCAGCGTTGGCAGCACCAGCAGAGGCAGCGGCATTTTTGTTATAGTAGTTGGATTTCTTTGCGGCGTTTCCGTTGGCAGCATCAGCAGCATCGTAGTAGTTGGAGGCTTTGTTGGCGTGGTTGGCAGCATATTTGTCGTTGTTATGGGCGGCGGCGTTGGCAGCGTTCTGGTACAGGTTCTGAGAGTACTTCTTTGCGTTGGCATGAGCGGCATTGGCGTTCTGTCCAAAGTTGTCCCTGTAGTCCTTCTTGTCGTAGTTGAGACGCTCGTAGTTGTTGCCGCCGGTTTTAGAATGATGGTGGAACTTCTTGACCAGATGGTGTTTCTTGGCACCCTCGTTGTACTTACGTCTGTAGTCGTCCTTGGCGTAGGCAGATTTGGCATTGTCGTGAGCGGCGGCTTTGTTGTCATAGAGACTGGCAGCGTCGGCACCGGCGTGACTGAAGCCATGGTTGTTGGCAGCGGCACCGTCCTTGTTGTATCTGTAGGCGTTGTTGTTGCCAACTGCAGCTCCAGACTTGTAGTAGTCGTTGGCGTGAGCGTTGTTGTTACCGTCTCTGTGATAGGCGGCACCGGCCTTGTTTCGGCTTGAGTCACCAAGTTTAGATCCGTATCCTCCGGTTTTGGCGACGGCGGCATTGGCAGCACCATCATAGTGGTTAGCGTGTTGACCTTGGACGGCGGCACCGTAGTACTTGTTGTTGTGTGCGTCATGTCCCAGGTAGCCATTGTTGTATCCGTGGCCGTACTGGTTACCGTAGCCCTTGCCGTATCCTACTCCTTTGCCGAGAAGACCTCCAGACACACCTAGAACACCAGCACCACCAGCGACGCCATGGGCACCATGGGCGAGACCTCCATATCCGGCGATGTTTTTGGCAGCCTGTGCAGCAGCATTAGCAGCGTTCCTTCTGTTGTAGTAGGCGTTCTTGCCAGCGAAGTCGTCATGTTTGTTGACGGCAGCATCGTGGGCGTTGGCGTAGTATTTGTTGCTTCCGGCAGCTTCGTTAAGTTTGCTGTCGTAACCGTGGTTGGCAGCACCGTTCTTGGCAGCGTGGCTAGCAGCAGAGCCGTATTTACCGTTACCATACTGAGCCTTGCTGGCGTCCTTACCGTACTTGCTGTCTTTCAGAGCATGAGATCGATCAGCAGCATATTTGTTGGCGGCGTGGTCTCTGTTGGCAGCGCTGTAAGCCTTGTTCTTATCACGGTATTCGTCGAGGTTGTGGGAAGAGCTGTCATCAAGAATTTCGTAGTCCCCGCCCTCATCGGCGTTCTTGTTATACTTCTTGTCGAAGCCGTAGTGGACTCCGGTGTTGTAGACGTCCCCCTTTCTGTAGTAGTTGTTGTTGGCGTAGTCGTTGTTGGCAGCAGCTTTGGAGGCATCGTCCTTCTTTGCGTACTTTGTGGCAGCAGCATCGTGGTAGTTGGCTTTGTTGGCCAGAGCGGCAGCACCGAAGGCTTTGTCAGCGTGAGCGGCGTTCTTGTGGCCGTAGTAGTTGGAGGCGGCGTCTCCCTTTGCGCTGGCATGGTCAGCAGCCTTGTGGTAGTCGTTACCGTGGGCGGCGTAGTTGTCTGCGGCTTTGTTGGCGGCATTGGCGGCTTTGTTGTAGCTTCCGTAACGACGAAGACCCTCGGCGCCTCCATATCGTCCTTTGCCGTAGTCGTTGAGACCCGAGGCAACGTGGCCAAGCTGTGCGGCAGCTCCAAAGTTGTTGTTGTAGGACATGCTGGATACGACAACGCCGCACAGAGCGACGAAGGCGACGAGGAGACACTGAAAAACATAGATTATCCTGATAATTGCTGATCTAACGATGTTGTATTTTCAAAATCTTCAACGACGGAATTTTCCATATTGAGAAGCTTGAGACGAACTCGATTCCCAATTTCGGTACAACGTACGTGTGAGGCCCTACATTGGTGTCCCAAACTTCACTGTGTCTTGATTTCTGGTAAAGGGTAAAACCTAGTTTATATGTAGTACTAAATATTTCTGATATTAAACCGAAATAAAACACGTATATTCGAGAATAGAGTATGTCCATTTTACACAAGTTATAAAAAACGAAGATGAATGACTTATTACGAGTAACGCCAACTTGGACTGCTTCGTGCATGTATCAACATACATCTATTACACCTTTCAACAATACAGTTTAAGTGACCAAATAGAATACAAACGAACACAAGATTATGGAAAAGGGGTATGTTGACAAAAATTCGTGTAAAACTGGAGATAAAGAGAGCCGGATGTTTAGAAGAATCAGACAATTTTGTTTGCGCACCTGGAAGGACAAAATGCATTTCGTATTTTCCTTGAAATGGAATCTAGAAATTAGAAATTAAAGGCGATAGCTACTCATGGGATAATATCTATGACGTGCACACACGCCTTTTCACCCATAAGAAATATACCTGTATAGTCTGTAGTATATCTTTATTATATTTAAAAACTAGTCATTTTCAATTCAGAATTAACTTCTGACGTTTTTAAATACGGGAACGAAAAGAAAGGTTCTATTTCATAAAAACACAAAGCCAGTGGCTCAGAGTTATCCGCCCTTGGTTTGCACTTCAATCATGAAAAACAATGCATGATAGAAGTCAATCCAGGCAAAGTCGTTCCTGACTCAAACCCAAACATTATAGGACTGTATCAACTGAAAACCCATATTTATGAGACAGATGAAACCAGAATGTTTTTAGGTGAATCGTGCCTAACAAACTCATTTCAGTATGCAACATTATTACGTGGAAAATATTACTAACCACACAAATGAAACCAGAATGTTTAGGTGAATCGTGCCTAACAAACTCCTTACATTTTGCAACGTTATAACGTGGAAAATATACTATTACACAGATGACACTGAAAAAATACATTATAATCCTTTCCTTACGAACAACTTACATTGAGGTATTAACTGAATAATATACGTATATATGACACAGATGGGAGCAGAAAAAATCTCCCAAGTGGTCTAAATCCTAAATCTACTATGTATCCTTACAATCTATCTAGGTATTAACTTTATAGCAACAGTATAAGAGTAGATACAAGATCATTAGCAGTAGAATAACTTGCAACCAGGAGCTCTTACCTTCATGCTGATGGAGAGAGTGTTGTGCCTGGGCTCTGTGTTGCCTGACTTATATCCCTCCGTAGTCAACGTCGTAAAGTTTAACTGTAGCTTAATGAGGGGTCATATCATCACCGGTGTCGTTAAAGAGACAATGGCGGTCCCGTCATGAAATCAACTTCAATGAAAGGGGTTTGAGTCAGACAATAGTGTTACCTCACTCACGGCGGGGGAGGGGCATTAGCGAGGACAGATCTGATGAAAACTTTATTTCATCAGGTCGAGAAAGTCTGCATGTGATTATGAAGTAAATAGACGTGAATATATTACAGGATTGTTGGATTCAACTGGAAAATCGCTGTGTTTAGAAATGCTTCGTGAGATGCTAATCTTATTAATATTAAAACTTAAATCTTTGAAGCAAAGTTTGAAAAGTGCAGAAATTATATGAACATTTTTTACCAACAGTAAAATAATTGATTATTAATGTAAATGTTCACCGCAAAATAATTTATAAATAAGCACATAGTCTTTTTTCTGGTCAAGTTCTCTTATCTAAATCGCTCAACAATAATTATTACAATTAGTAATGAGAGAGAAACCATTGAATCAATTAGCCGTGATACGTTCAAGTGTGATATTTTTGTTATATCTTGCTGACTCTTTATTCCAGTGATTGAAATTCAACTTGAATATCATTTTACATAAGCCAGGCGGTTTAGAATAATTAAGTCACCCATACATTTATATTAATTGCTTCACTGAGAATACCAAGTCTCTGTGAACCTAATCGGGATGAAGATATGTAAATAGAAGGCCTGAGAGTTGGGTTGTTTTTCAGTAATTAAATCTGACGAGAATACTTATCATACAATTTGTGGCTGACAGCATAGCATTTCACTATCAAGTATCTAATCTAAATACAGAAAAGTGGACTTTCAAGTAAATATGAACTTTTTTTCATGAAATAATGTGCGCATATGTTTAACTGTATGCCCCACTCACATATTCTGTATACGTGTAAACCAGGTGACCCGTTGTTCGAGGCACCGTAATTATAAATGCACAATTTCGCCCTTTGATCGTGAGTTCAAATTCCGGCTTGTCCAGATTGCATGTATATTTCTAGGTTTGTCAATACATTATTTGTGCTCGGGGTTCAGTAAAGTGTCTTTAATCAACATTCTATAATCACGAGAAATCTTTAAATGTTTTCATTATTCCGACTACATATCACAAGCATGGTACACATAATCAAAGCTTAGAACCCCCTCCTATACAGATTTACATAAATACCTATATACAATAAATACACCAAATGACAGAATGGGATGAAGCAAAATACAGAAATCGTTTGGTTTTCTTCATATATGCATATTTCGTTCATATGCTTAAGTATAACGGCATTGCCAACTCGCATCAGGTCAATATTAACACCACAAGTACATGTATTTTTCAGAGGGGCAATTCGTTTCTAGATGATTTAATAGATAGACATGCAATGAACGAATTATATGGATTCACATGGGCACCTTTGTTGGAACCCTTTCCAAATAAATTATGTTGAACAACCCTCCATAGATGCAGCTAACTGACCGTCCGTCACACGATCAAACAGGTTGTGTGTCTTTAGCTTGAGATAAAATTTTGTGATGATGATACGTATCAAGTGGACCCGTGAAGATCCGGGTTAGAATTGGTCTTCAGCTTGTCGTGAGAGGCGACTAACGGGATCGGGTGGTCAGGCTCGCTCACGTGGTTGACGCATGTCATCGTATCCCAATGGCGTACATCGATGCTCATGCTGTTGATCACTGGATTGTCTGGTCCAGACTCGATTATTTACAGACCGCCGCCATTTAGCTGCAATATTGCTGAGTGTGGCGTTAAACAACAAACAAACCAACCAACGTATCAACTGAGCCTTCAGTAATAAGGCATTTGTAACATTTACAGAAAATTAAACAAACATCCCATTTCACGAGTGCATCCATCTCAATACTGTGTATTTAGTTTAGCGTATTGAATAACTCAGAGTCCAGCCAAGCTCGTATGTCTATGCGTTTTCCCATATTTAACCTCTAACATATGCATAAATGTATCGCAAGTGACCATTCTGTAATAAGGTTCATGTATTTGTAATATTTAAAGAAATTCCCATTTCACATTGAATTATTATCACGAATGAATCCATCCAAATGACAACTTTTAATTTTTAAAATGTTTCAATCATTTCAAGTTCAAGTTGAGCCATTTAGGCCACAGCAGGCATATCGGCCAATCATTGTTCCTCAACTATTGTGTGTGGTAACACTTGTCTGCAATGAAAACTGTCTGCAATGTAAATCTACACAGAAGAGCACATGTGGAAGAGCTCTATTAGAAATGTCATTATATAGCCCAAACATATTCAATGATGTTAAAGTTAATATTTATATAGGGCCTGTTCCAACAAACTGCACTGAGGCACTCGGACAAAGGCACTGTAAAAAAAGCTGTGTTTTTCGCATTCGCTTGAACTGGTTTGCACATGTCCTGGATGTTGTTTGGCAGATTACTGGGTCCTGCTTTGGAGAAGGATCTATCATCGAAAGTCTTTATTTTGGTAGGTGGTATCGCAAACATTCGTGATGCTCTTTTTCTCAGAGTCCGCAAGGTAATGTAATGTCTGACAATTTAAAAAAGAAATTTGAAAGCTGTAGTACTCGCTATATCCGTTACCCAGTGAACTCACATACTTATTAGCGTACACTTGTCAAAGGTGGGTCATACTTTTCCGTCTCCGTTTTAACTAAATTTACATTACAAATATGTTTAGAAACACAAAACAATTCTAAACCCGCAATATGGACGCGTTGAGGTCTGAACGTGTTTAGGCTCTAGGGAAAGAACTGCGGATCTGTAATATGGAATGAGTGAGTGAGTGTGGTTTTACGCCGCTTTTAGCAATATACCAGCAATATCACGGCGGGGACAGCAGAAATGGGCTTCACGCATTGTACTCTTGTGGGGACAAGAAGAACCCGGGTCTTCGTCGTGACAAGCGAACGCTTAAACCACTAGGCTACCTCATCGCCCCAAATAATATGGAAAGTGTGAGGGGGGACAACCTAAAAACATTAAGGGTCTATTGTGGTTATCAAACATAGAATTAATGCCAGCTTAACTTTTTCTCGGTGAACGCAATGACATTAGTGACACAGAACCCCCAACATTATATTAACACTTCACTTTTAAAAACTCGACGGGATCAGAAACTGCAACGTTTTGTTATGTGTTCCTTCATGACACCATTCGTGCTGCGGAGTCTTGCGGAGACCTGCGGAGACCTGCGGAGACCAGCAGAGACTGTTGTTGCCGCAGGTCATAATTTTCTTATCACCTTTAATTCAGCTTTGTTTATTAGTATATTTAAATGTTGTTATTAGTGCATGTGAACCTGAGCTACACATGTCATTTCAATGGACATTATACGTCTAACCCAAACATGCCATTATGGCATTGCTTTAATAATCACTTTATTTCAACATAATCCCAGACATGTTATATCACCGGGATGTTGTGTTTTGGTGGTGTTAAGGCCGTGAGTCGAAAGCGCATATGATTATTTCGTAATGTAATCACCTATAACTAACTACTTAATCTG